TGCTGTACCAGTAGCATGGTGCTTTACAGTGGACCGGTAGCATACAATTAAAGTCCGGTAGGTGTGCGTACAGTATGCTTGAGAGACCAACTGCTTTGAGGTCACATCTTTTTCAGGCCAACATTCAGCGTTCTTTGTCGGCGGCCACCCAAGCTTTCATGCGATGACGGCTTGATGACCGCTCCGTGTTATGCAAACGATTGCACATGATAAGAAACACATCGGATGAAGTGACGTCGATGTATTTCAGCAATTCGCTCGTACGAGTTGGCAGTGGACTGGCACTTGCCGAATAAAGACCAGAACCGGTGGGGGCAAGCAGGGCCAACGAGGCTGAGAATCAGCGTATGCTTGCGTCGTGATGTGCGGTGTAGAGCGCAATTTTTGTGGTGCGGGGGTGTGCGACCGCGATGAGGCCTCGGTAGCTCAGTTGGGAGAGCGTCAGACTGAAGATCTGAAGGTCCCTGGTTCGATCCCGGGTCGCGGCACCTTTGCACAACCCTGCCGCTTCCTTCATTCCTCCATCTTGTTCCAACTTATTATGCTGTACCAGTAGCATGGTGCTTTACAGTGGACCGGTAGCATACAATTAAAGTCCGGTAGGTGTGCGTACAGTATGCTTGAGAGACCAACTGCTTTGAGGTCACATCTTTTTCAGGCCAACATTCAGCGTTCTTTGTCGGCGGCCACCCAAGCTTTCATGCGATGACGGCTTGATGACCGCTCCGTGTTATGCAAACGATTGCACATGATCACACACACATAGGATGAAGCGACGTCGATGTATTTCAGCAATTCGCTCGTACGAGTTGGCAGTGGACTGGCACTTGCCGAATAAAGACCAGAACCGGTGGGGCAAGCAGGGCCAACGAGGCTGAGAATCAGCGTATGCTTGCGTCGTGATGTGCGGTGTAGAGCGCAATTTTTGTGGTGCGGGGGTGTGCGACTGCGATGAGGCCTCGGTAGCTCAGTTGGGAGAGCGTCAGACTGAAGATCTGAAGGTCCCTGGTTCGATCCCGGGTCGCGGCACCTTTGCACAACCCTGCCGCTTCCTTCATTCCTCCATCTTGTTCCAACTTATTATGCTGTACCAGTAGCATGGTGCTTTACAGTGGACCGGTAGCATACAATTAAAGTCCGGTAGGTGTGCGTACAGTATGCTTGAGAGACCAACTGCCTTGAGGTCACATCTTTTTCAGGCCAACATTCAGCGTTCTTTGTCGGCGGCCACCCAAGCTTTCATGCGATGACGGCTTGATGACCGCTCCGCGTTATGCAAACGATTGCACATGATAAGAAACACATCGGATGAAGTGACGTCGATGTATTTCAGCAATTCGCTCGTACGAGTTGGCAGTAGACTGGCACTTGCCGAATAAAGACCAGAACCGGTGGGGCAAGCAGGGCCAACGAGGCTGAGAATCAGCGTATGCTTGCGTCCTGATGTGCGGTGTAGAGCGCAATTTTTGTGGTGCGGGGGTGTGCGACTGCGATGAGGCCTCGGTAGCTCAGTTGGGAGAGCGTCAGACTGAAGATCTGAAGGTCCCTGGTTCGATCCCGGGTCGCGGCACCTTTGCACAACCCTGCCGCTTCCTTCATTCCTCCATCTTGTTCCAACTTATTATGCTGTACCAGTAGCATGGTGCTTTACAGTGGACCGGTAGCATACAATTAAAGTCCGGTAGGTGTGCGTACAGTATGCTTGAGAGACCAACTGCTTTGAGGTCACATCTTTTTCAGGCCAACATTCAGCGTTCTTTGTCGGCGGCCACCCAAGCTTTCATGCGATGACGGCTTGATGACCGCTCCGTGTTATGCAAACGATTGCACATGATAAGAAACACATAGGATGAAGTGACGTCGATGTATTTCAGCAATTCGCTCGTACGAGTTGGCAGTGGACTGGCACTTGCCGAATAACGACCAGAACCGGTGGGGCAAGCAGGGCCAACGAGGCTGAGAATCAGCGTATGCTTGCGTCGTGATGTGCGGTGTAGAGCGCAATTTTTTGTGGTGCGGGTGGTGTGCGACCGCGATGAGGCCTCGGTAGCTCAGTTGGGAGAGCGTCAGACTGAAGATCTGAAGGTCCCTGGTTCGATCCCGGGTCGCGGCACCTTTGCACAACCCTGCCGCTTCCTTCATTCCTCCATCTTGTTCCAACTTATTATGCTGTACCAGTAGCATGGTGCTTTACAGTGGACCGGTAGCATACAATTAAAGTCCGGTAGGTGTGCGTACAGTATGCTTGAGAGACCAACTGCTTTGAGGTCACATCTTTTTCAGGCCAACATTCAGCGTTCTTTGTCGGCGGCCACCCAAGCTTTCATGCGATGACGGCTTGATGACCGCTCCGTGTTATGCAAACGATTGCACATGATCACAAACACATAGGATGAAGTGACGTCGATGTATTTCAGCAATTCGCTCGTACGAGTTGGCAGTGGACTGGCACTTGCCGAATAAAGACCAGAACCGGTGGGGGCAAGCAGGGCCAACGAGGCTGAGAATCAGCGTATGCTTGCGTCGTGATGTGCGGTGTAGAGCGCAATTTTTGTGGTGCGGGTGGTGTGCGACCGCGATGAGGCCTCGGTAGCTCAGTTGGGAGAGCGTCAGACTGAAGATCTGAAGGTCCCTGGTTCGATCCCGGGTCGCGGCACCTTTGCACAACCCTGCCGCTTCCTTGATTCCTCCATCTTGTTCCAACTTATTATGCTGTACCAGTAGCATGGTGCTTTACAGTGGACCGGTAGCATACAATTAAAGTCCGGTAGGTGTGCGTACAGTATGCTTGAGAGACCAACTGCTTTGAGGTCACATCTTTTTCAGGCCAACATTCAGCGTTCTTTGTCGGCGGCCACCCAAGCTTTCATGCGATGACGGCTTGATGACCGCTCCGTGTTATGCAAACGATTGCACATGATCACAAACACATCGGATGAAGTGACGTCGATGTATTTCAGCAATTCGCTCGTACGAGTTGGCAGTGGACTGGCACTTGCCGAATAAAGACCAGAACCGGTGGGGCAAGCAGGGCCAACGAGGCTGAGAATCAGCGTATGCTTGCGTCGTGATGTGCGGTGTAGAGCGCAATTTTTTGTGGTGCGGGGGTGTGCGACTGCGATGAGGCCTCGGTAGCTCAGTTGGGAGAGCGTCAGACTGAAGATCTGAAGGTCCCTGGTTCGATCCCGGGTCGCGGCACCTTTGCACAACCCTGCCGCTTCCTTCATTCCTCCATCTTGTTCCAACTTATTATGCTGTACCAGTAGCATGGTGCTTTACAGTGGACCGGTAGCATACAATTAAAGTCCGGTAGGTGTGCGTACAGTATGCTTGAGAGACCAACTGCTTTGAGGTCACATCTTTTTCAGGCCAACATTCAGCGTTCTTTGTCGGCGGCCACCCAAGCTTTCATGCGATGACGGCTTGATGACCGCTCCGTGTTATGCAAACGATTGCACATGATCACAAACACATAGGATGAAGTGACGTCGATGTATTTCAGCAATTCGCTCGTACGAGTTGGCAGTAGACTGGCACTTGCCGAATAAAGACCAGAACCGGTGGGGCAAGCAGGGCCAACGAGGCTGAGAATCAGCGTATGCTTGCGTCGTGATGTGCGGTGTAGAGCGCAATTTTTGTGGTGCGGGGGTGTGCGACTGCGATGAGGCCTCGGTAGCTCAGTTGGGAGAGCGTCAGACTGAAGATCTGAAGGTCCCTGGTTCGATCCCGGGTCGCGGCACCTTTGCACAACCCTGCCGCTTCCTTCATTCCTCCATCTTGTTCCAACTTATTATGCTGTACCAGTAGCATGGTGCACTGCAGTGGACCGGTAGCATAAGGTTAAAGTCCGGTAGGTGTGCGTACAGTATGCTTGAGAGACCAACTGCTTTGAGGTCACATCTTTTTCAGGCCAACATTCAGCGTTCTTTGTCGGCGGCCACCCAAGCTTTCATGCGATGACGGCTTGATGACCGCTCCGTGTTATGCAAACGATTGCACATGATCACAAACACATAGGATGAAGTGACGTCGATGTATTCCAGCAATTCGCTCGTACGAGTTGGCAGTAGACTGGCACTTGCCGAATAAAGACCAGAACCGGTGGGGCAAGCAGGGCCAACGAGGCTGAGAATCAGCGTATGCTTGCGTCGTGATGTGCGGTGTAGAGCGCAATTTTTGTGGTGCGGGGATGTGCGACTGCGATGAGGCCTCGGTAGCTCAGTTGGGAGAGCGTCAGACTGAAGATCTGAAGGTCCCTGATTCGATCCCGGGTCGCGGCACCTTTGCACAACCCTGCCGCTTCCTTCATTCCTCCATCTTGTTCCAACTTATTATGCTGTACCAGTAGCATGGTGCTTTACAGTGGACCGGTAGCATACAATTAAAGTCCGGTAGGTGTGCGTACAGTATGCTTGAGAGACCAACTGCTTTGAGGTCACATCTTTTTCAGGCCAACATTCAGCGTTCTTTGTCGGCGGCCACCCAAGCTTTCATGCGATGACGGCTTGATGACCGCTCCGTGTTATGCAAACGATTGCACATGATAAGAAACACATCGGATGAAGTGACGTCGATGTATTTCAGCAATTCGCTCGTACGAGTTGGCAGTGGACTGGCACTTGCCGAATAACGACCAGAACCGGTGGGGGCAAGCAGGGCCAACGAGGCTGAGAATCAGCGTATGCTTGCGTCGTGATGTGCGGTGTAGAGCGCAATTTTTGTGGTGCGGGGGTGTGCGACCGCGATGAGGCCTCGGTAGCTCAGTTGGGAGAGCGTCAGACTGAAGATCTGAAGGTCCCTGGTTCGATCCCGGGTCGCGGCACCTTTGCACAACCCTGCCGCTTCCTTCATTCCTCCATCTTGTTCCAACTTATTATGCTGTACCAGTAGCATGGTGCTTTACAGTGGACCGGTAGCATACAATTAAAGTCCGGTAGGTGTGCGTACAGTATGCTTGAGAGACCAACTGCTTTGAGGTCACATCTTTTTCAGGCCAACATTCAGCGTTCTTTGTCGGCGGCCACCCAAGCTTTCATGCGATGACGGCTTGATGACCGCTCCGTGTTATGCAAACGATTGCACATGATAACAAACACATAGGATGAAGTGACGTCGATGTATTTCAGCAATTCGCTCGTACGAGTTGGCAGTGGACTGGCACTTGCCGAATAACGACCAGAACCGGTGGGGCAAGCAGGGCCAACGAGGCTGAGAATCAGCGTATGCTTGCGCTAGTGGGGGGGAGGTTAGAGTTTTTTTGGTGGGGGGGGGGGGGGCGGCGACGAGGAGGCGGCCGTAGGTGGGTGAGGGGGGGGCGTCAGACAAAAGATCTGAAGGTCCGGTGGTTGGGTGGGGGGGGGGGGGGGTGCGAGGGGGGTCGGGGGGGGGGGGGAGGGGCGGCGAAGGGAAGGGCTGGGTTCGATCGGGTCGCGGCACCTTTGCACAACCCTGCCGCTTCCTTCATTACTCCATCTTGTTCCAACTTATTATGATGTACCAGTAGCATGGTGCTTTACAGTGGACCGGTAGCATACAATTAAAGTCCGGTAGGTGTGCGTACAGTATGCTTGAGAGACCAACTGCTTTGAGGTCACATCTTTTTCAGGCCAACATTCAGCGTTCTTTGTCGGCGGCCACCCAAGCTTTCATGCGATGACGGCTTGATGACCGCTCCGTGTTATGCAAACGATTGCACATGATCACAAACACATAGGATGAAGTGACGTCGATGTATTTCAGCATTTCGCTCAGACGAGTTGGCAGTGGACTGGCACTTGCCGAATAAAGACCAGAACCAATGAAACAAGCAGGGCCAACGAGGCTGAGAATCAGCGTATGCTTGCGTCGTGATGTGCGGTGTAGAGCGCAATTTTTGTGGTGCGGGGGTGTGCGACTGCGATGAGGCCTCGGTAGCTCAGTTGGGAGAGCGTCAGACTGAAGATCTGAAGGTCCCTGGTTCGATCCCGGGTCGCGGCACCTTTGCACAACCCTGCCGCTTCCTTCATTCCTCCATGTTGTTCCAACTTATTATGCTGTACCAGTAGCATGGTGCTTTACAGTGGACCGGTAGCATACAGTTAAAGTCCGGTAGGTGTGCGTACAGTATGCTTGAGAGACCAACTGCTTTGAGGTCACATCTTTTTCAGGCCACCATTCAGCGTTCTTTGTCGGCGGCCACCCAAGCTTTCATGCGATGACGGCTTGATGACCGCTCCGTGTTATGCAAACGATTGCACATGATAACAAACACATCGGATGAAGTGACGTCAATGTATTCCAGCAATTCGCTCGTACGAGTTGGCAATAGACTGGCACTTGCCGAATAAAGACCAGAACCGGTGAAACAAGCAGGGCGAACGAGGCTATGAACCAGCGTATGCTTGCGTCGTGATGTGCGGTGTAGAGCGCAATTTTTGCGGTGCGGGGGTGTGCGACTGCGATGAGGCCTCGGTAGCTCAGTTGGGAGAGCGTCAGACTGAAGATCTGAAGGTCCCTGGTTCGATCCCGGGTCGCGGCACCTTTGCACAACCCTGCCGCTTCCTTCATTACTCCATCTTGTTCCAACCTATTATGCTGTACCAGTAGCATGGTGCTTTACAGTGGACCAGTAGCATACAGTTAAAGTCCGGTAGGTGTGCGTACAGTATGCTTGAGAGACCAACTGCTTTGAGGTCACATCTTTTTCAGGCCAACATTCAGCGTTCTTTGTCGGCGGCCACCCAAGCTTTCATGCGATGACGGCTTGATGACCGCTCCGTGTTATGCAAACGATTGCACATGATCACAAACACATAGGATGAAGCGACGTCGATGTATTTCAGCAATTCGCTCGTACGAGTTGGCAGTGGACTGGCACTTGCCGAATAAAGGCCAGAGCCAATGAAACAAGCAGGGCCAACGAGGCTGAGAATCAGCGTATGCTTGCGTCGTGATGTGCGGTGTAGAGCGCAATTTTTGTGGTGCGGGGGTGTGCGACTGCGATGAGGCCTCGGTAGCTCAGTTGGGAGAGCGTCAGACTGAAGATCTGAAGGTCCCTGATTCGATCCCGGGTCGCGGCACCTTTGCACAACCCTGCCGCTTCCTTCATTCCTCCATCTTGTTCCAATTTATTATGCTGTACCAGTAGCATGGTGCTTTACAGTGGACCAGTAGCATACAGTTAAAGTCCGGTAGGTGTGCGTACAGTATGCTTGAGAGACCAACTGCTTTGAGGTCACATCTTTTTCAGGCCAACATTCAGCGTTCTTTGTCGGCGGCCACCCAAGCTTTCATGCGATGACGGCTTGATGACCGCTCCGTGTTATGCAAACGATTGCACATGATAAGAAACACATAGGATGAAGTGACGTCGATGTATTTCAGCAATTCGCTCGTACGAGTTGGCAGTGGACTGGCACTTGCCGAATAAAGGCCAGAACCAATGAAACAAGCAGGGCCAACGAGGCTGAGAATCAGCGTATGCTTGCGTCGTGATGTGCGGTGTAGAGCGCAATTTTTTGTGGTGCGGGGGTGTGCGACTGCGATGAGGCCTCGGTAGCTCAGTTGGGAGAGCGTCAGACTGAAGATCTGAAGGTCCCTGATTCGATCCCGGGTCGCGGCACCTTTGCACAACCCTGCCGCTTCCTTCATTCCTCCATGTTGTTCCAACTTATTATGCTGTACCAGTAGCATGGTGCTCTGCAGTGGACCGGTAGCATACAGTTAAAGTCCGGTAGGTGTGCGTACAGTATGCTTGAGAGACCAACTGCTTTGAGGTCACATCTTTTTCAGGCCAACATTCAACGTTCTTTGTCGGCGGCCACCCAAGCTTTCATGCGATGACGTCATGATGACCGCTCCGTGTGATGCAAACGATTGCACATGATCACAAACACATAGGATGAAGTGACGTCGATGTATTTCAGCAATTCGCTCATACGAGTTGGCAGTAGACTGGCACTTGCCGAATAAAGGCCAGAACCAATGAAACAAGCAGGGCCAACGAGGCTGAGAATCAGCGTATGCTTGCGTCCTGATGTGCGGTGTAGAGCGCAATTTTTGTGGTGCGGGGATGTGCGACTGCGATGAGGCCTCGATAGCTCAGTTGGGAGAGCGTCAGACTGAAGATCTGAAGGTCCCTGATTCGATCCCGGGTCGCGGCACCTTTGCACAACCCTGCCGCTTCCTTCGTTCCTCCATCTTGTTCCAATCTATTATGCTGTACCAGTAGCATGGGGCTTTACAGTGGACCAGTAGCATACAGTTAAAGTCCGGTAGGTGTGCGTACAGTATGCTTGAGAGACCAACTGCTTTGAGGTCACATCTTTTTCAGGCCAACATTCAGCGTTCTTTGTCGGCGGCCACCCAAGCTTTCATGCGATGACGGCTTGATGACCGCTCCGTGTTATGCAAACGATTGCACATGATAAGAAACACATAGGATGAAGCGACGTCGATGTATTTCAGCAATTCGCTCGTACGAGTTGGCAGTGGACTGGCACTTGCCGAATAAAGACCAGAACCAATGAAACAAGCAGGGCCAACGAGGCTGAGAATCAGCGTATGCTTGCGTTGTGATGTGCGGTGTAGAGCGCAATTTTTGTGGTGCGGGGATGTGCGACTGCGATGAGGCCTCGGTAGCTCCGTTGGGAGAGCGTCAGACTGAAGATCTGAAGGTCCCTGATTCGATCCCGGGTCGCGGCACCTTTGCACAACCCTGCCGCTTCCTTCATTCCTCCATGTTGTTCCAACTTATTATGCTGTACCAGTAGCATGGTGCTTTACAGTGGACCAGTAGCATACAGTTAAAGTCCGGTAGGTGTGCGTACAGTATGCTTGAGAGACCAACTGCTTTGAGGTCACATCTTTTTCAGGCCAACATTCAGCGTTCTTTGTCGGCGGCCACCCAAGCTTTCAGGCGATGACGGCTTGATGACCGCTCCGTGTTATGCAAACGATTGCACATGATAAGAAACACATAGGATGAAGTGACGTCGATGTATTTCAGCAATTCGCTCGTACGAGTTGGCAGTGGACTGGCACTTGCCGAATAAAGGCCAGAGCCAATGAAACAAGCAGGGCCAACGAGGCTGAGAATCAGCGTATGCTTGCGTCGTGATGTGCGGTGTAGAGCGCAATTTTTGTGGTGCGGGGATGTGCGACTGCGATGAGGCCTCGGTAGCTCAGTTGGGAGAGCGTCAGACTGAAGATCTGAAGGTCCCTGATTCGATCCCGGGTCGCGGCACCTTTGCACAACCCTGCCGCTTCCTTCGTTCCTCCATCTTGTTCCAACTCTATTATGCTGTACCAGTAGCATGGTGCTTTACAGTGGACCAGTAGCATACAGTTAAAGTCCGGTAGGTGTGCGTACAGTATGCTTGAGAGACCAACTGCTTTGAGGTCACATCTTTTTCAGGCCAACATTCAGCGTTCTTTGTCGGCGGCCACCCAAGCTTTCATGCGATGACGGCTTGATGACCGCTCCGTGTGATGCAAACGATTGCACATGATCACAAACACATAGGATGAAGTGACGTCGATGTATTTCAGCAATTCGCTCGTACGAGTTGGCAGTAGACTGGCACTTGCCGAATAAAGGCCAGAACCAATGAAACAAGCAGGGCCAACGAGGCTGTGGATCAGCGTATGCTTGCGTCGTGATGTGCGGTGTAGAGCGCAATTTTTTGTGGTGCGGGGGTGTGCGACTGCGATGAGGCCTCGGTAGCTCAGTTGGGAGAGCGTCAGACTGAAGATCTGAAGGTCCCTGATTCGATCCCGGGTCGCGGCACCTTTGCACAACCCTGCCGCTTCCTTCATTCCTCCATCTTGTTCCAATCTTATTATGCTGTACCAGTAGCATGGTGCTTTACAGTGGACCAGTAGCATACAGTTAAAGTCCGGTAGGTGTGCGTACAGTATGCTTGAGAGACCAACTGCTTTGAGGTCACATCTTTTTCAGGCCAACATTCAGCGTTCTTTGTCGGCGGCCACCCAAGCTTTCATGCGATGACGGCTTGATGACCGCTCCGTGTGATGCAAACGATTGCACATGATCAGAAACACATAGGATGAAGCGACGTCGATGTATTTCAGCAATTCGCTCGTACGAGTTGGCAGTAGACTGGCACTTGCCGAATAAAGGCCAGAGCCAATGAAACAAGCAGGGCCAACGAGGCTGAGAATCAGCGTATGCTTGCGTCGTGATGTGCGGTGTAGAGCGCAATTTTTGTGGTGCGGGGATGTGCGACTGCGATGAGGCCTCGGTAGCTCAGTTGGGAGAGCGTCAGACTGAAGATCTGAAGGTCCCTGATTCGATCCCGGGTCGCGGCACCTTTGCACAACCCTGCCGCTTCCTTCATTCCTCCATCTTGTTCCAATCTATTATGCTGTACCAGTAGCATGGTGCTTTACAGTGGACCAGTAGCATACAGTTAAAGTCCGGTAGGTGTGCGTACAGTATGCTTGAGAGACCAACTGCTTTGAGGTCACATCTTTTTCAGGCCAACATTCAGCGTTCTTTGTCGGCGG